TATCTTATACGCACAAACTTTAATGTGCTAGTGGGAAACAGTCAAAATTAATGTGAGCAAATGTACTTGTTTTTTTCAAATCCGGGGGCATGTCGCGCATCACAAATTATTTATATAATTATATATATATATATATATATATATATATATATCCTCTTTTATCTGATATCAATAATATAATTTATAGCCGTAATAATTATGTCAGTTTGCAACAGTACTAGCAAAAATGTCTTTTATGGGATTTAAATTTTTATGCGATTTTTTTATTAATAAAACTATTAAGTATTTTATCATTATACAATCCTGATTAAATGCGCTAGCTTTTGATAAAACTTACCAAACACAGTTCAGTACATGTTTCTTAAAGAAGCGCCTCTCAAAGTCGACCGATTTTAAAAATTTTCAATTCATAGTTCAACAAAAAGTCTAAATTCCTAAAAACTTGGGGCAATTGTGTTCTTGTTTCTTATAAATGTCTTGTGGTCCTATAAATGTTATTCAAAATTATGGTTTCAGAGTGTAAATGTGAAAAAAATACTAACTACTAGTGTATGGCATCGTGCCTCAAGATAAATTGCTGGAACTTCCCGTACCGTAATGAAATATTTAAGGAATATTAAATGTTTTCAAATAGATTATTATAAATAGTGTAACTATTCTTATTACTCTTATTTTATAGACAAAAATAATAAAGGACACTGTCTAACATTTAGAAGAATTATATGAACTAAACTGCAAAATGAAAATTATTTATTTGAAGTTGATAAGTAAGTTTTAGAACTCTAAATAGCTAAAATTAAAATTACTATTTGATTTCTACCAAACTATTTTCGATATTCAAAACAAATTATTTTTTATTTTTGAATATGAAAAAAATCTGAAACAGAAGATAAATTCTTTCCCCAAAAGCAATCGTTTTGTCTTTCAAAAACTGCCATTTTTTTCACACTCACCTCCGTATCTCCAAAACGACTGGACTTTTCTTTACCAAAAACTAATCACCACTTTTCCCCATCAGTGCAAATTGAATGTTTTTTGGATCATTTAAACCAGATTCTCTGTTTTCTCAAAAACTCGATTTCTATTTTCTGCGCTGTTTGCCTCGTATCTTTGAAACATCTGGATCTGCCTTTATCAACAAGTAACCAGCACATCTCCCTATCAATGGAAATCTAATGTTTCTTCGGATTTATTCAAATCAGTTGATCCGTGCGCCCAAAAACGTGGACAAAAAATTGTATCCATACATACATACACACATATTTATTTTTGTAAGGAATGCCAAAATGTTCAGAAACCTGCAAAACGTAATGATATTAAAAAATTTCAATTTTGATTACGAAAAGTTAAAAATTAACTGCTACAACCTGAAATTGGTCATAACGTTACGAAAGCTCTAAATTTGACAAAAAAACTCATAATTTCCAAACAAAGTGAGATTTTTTTTTTAAATTTTGTTCAGGACGGTTGTCAAGAAATATGTATATATATATATATACAATTGAGTGCTAACATTTATCTTACCCATTCCAATTAATGCATTTAATTTTAGTTGATCTAATTTGACTTAAAATTAATAGTATATATTTGTGTAACCTTATGAAAGTTAATGATAGAGAAAATAAATTTGAAAATTATTAAAATATCAAAGCTCTAGACTATTATGCTGCAGAAATTTGCTATCTCGAAAGTGGCAATCAAACCACCCGATGAATATTCTGAACATCCTTTGAAAACAACTGATTAACTGATTCAATTAAAATACCGTTTGATAAAATGGAAGCAACTTCAAAAACGAAGATTATAAATTCAAATCAGCTTTATAAAATTAAATTATTTTCACAATTTGTATATAAAAGTATATTATATAAAGCAATAATTCGGAGCACTTCGTTAAATACTTTTGATATACGGAGTAGAAAATGTAATAAATTCCAAACCGTTGAACTTTATGTCGCCTCTATACTTGTCATTTGGCCGGCACGGGTATCTGAATATCCTTAAAGTGCACGTAGTCGTTTCACCTATAAAATGTGAGGTAAATATGTTTTATCCTGAATTCAGACCATTCATCTGAAACGACATAGTACGCAGGTATTCACGCAAATATATCACGAAAATCTATACACGGACGTATATTTTCAATACCAGGTACAGGAACGAACTAACAGAACCATGAAATAACATTAATTTAATATAATATTCTATTGCAACTGCTAATATCGTGTTTTTATAATATTATTTTGTGAACTGTTGCTACACTTGCGGTTAATTAATTAGATTCAATAGTTAATTTTTATGTATTCTATATATTATTTGTAATTATACATTAAACTCCACGTAGTCACACATCCTCATGATACGTTACAACAATTATAACATACTAATAATTTTCAGAATTTTTTTTTGAGTTTAAATTGAGTATTATATCAATAAGAAATATTTGTATTGTTAAAACTTAAACTTTGTGATTCCAAAAAATATATATTAATACATTTATTATATACATTATGTTTATATAGATTATCATAAATTCTCTTTTATCATAAAATGTGAAATAAACAGTATTAACTCAACTTAAATCAAATAATCATATTAATTTAAATATAGGAATAGATTCAAAATATTATAGAAAAAAAATTATGATAAAAAATGATATAAACACGTGTAATAGTTTTGCAAAAATGCAATTAATTTTTGTATAAATAGGTCCAAATTTGCATATGCACATACATACATTTTTAACTTTATCATAATATTGAGAATCTGATACGAAACTTACATTCTTGCAAAATATAATCTCAAATTACGAATAATTAATTCATCATTTTTATTGATTCTATACATCATTAGTTTTTCAACTAATTTATTAATTTCCCGTAAAGTAAGTTGGGTAAGTTATTGTAATCGTCCAAAAATCGAAATTGAAAATTTTACATTTCTTCACGTTTTGAAGGTTTCTAAACATTTTGGCATACCTCAGAATAAATGGATGTGTGTGTATGTGTTTGGATACAATTTTTCGTTTACGTTTTCGGGCGCACGGATTGACCGCTTCAAATAGTTAAAAAAAAATTGATTCCTATTGATAGGGAGATGTGCTGATTAGTTTTTGGCAAAGGCAGATCCAGCCGTTTCGGAGATACCGAGCTAAATGTGCAAAAAATTGCAGTTTTTGTGAGAACTAAGCATCCTGTTTTAAATTATTCAAGAAA